CGAAATACAAAATCAAAAGGCATGTCTATTCTACCTAAATTAAACGCAGAAATTTAGATCTTTCCATCAATAAATTAAAAATTTAAGAATTAGACTGAAGAAACGTATGTTGAGAAAATTCTGATTAAGATTTTTGTCCGTCAAGCATAATCCTTCCTGCCAATCAAACTACATCAATCATCACACTCCTATTAACAGTTAAATGCTGACAAGTTAAGAAGCAAAGAACCATGAACGTGGCTGATACACATAAAGCTTTGACAACATTAATACGCAGATGGCTGAAACTGGCTATAGCATGACTAATGAAAAATTAAACATCTTTTAAGACGATTAGTAACGGATCGTTTCTTTTATTTGCCAACAGAATAATGACAATGAAATATGTAATCCTGTAATAAATAACAAAATTATCATTCATACATAGCATAATGATAAAATAGCGTTATTGTGGAAGTATTTGAAATCTAATTATTAAAATCGTAAAAAATGGAACCAAAGACGAGAAATGTATTCACTACGTGTTAGTTGGGCTAGTTGGGTTTTCTAACTGATTTCCTTTTCAGATAATCTTAAATACATTTAGTGACGTTACGCTTCTGAATTTTATATCCTTTTCCTATTAGGCAAATTTCTAAAGCATGTATCATTCTATTTTAAGAAAATTTGAATGTACGTGTATACTGTGTTCCCAATACGCAAAGTTTTAACTACAAGTATATCATTCTCATTGCATATAAATTTAATAGAAGTTAAATACCTAAAAATATAAATATGTATACAATTAATTTATTATTTACCTACGAATAAATTCCAAGGTTAACTGAAGTGTATAACATTATTCTTGAAGCAGTCATTGAAAATTATGTGAGTATTTCACTGGTAGTAGAACATAATAAAAGCAAACCTTTCTTCAGAAACATTTCAGATTTTAACGGTCATCCTAAAGGCTTTATTAAGGTTTTTTAACGCTAATGTTGAGCTGCAGTCTACCAGTATGTTCTTGCACTCACTTCTGCTAACCTTTTTATTATTATTATTATTATTATTATTTAGCTTTATTATTATTAAGCATCGTTTTCTTCGCGTTTACGTCACATACAGTTTATAAAGTCACATAAAAAAAAAAAAAGAAGAAAGCAGCATAGCGCCATATATTTAGAATTCCCGATGGCGTGAAGTGTTTCCCTATTTTTTTCAGTCTTTTCTCAGTTCACCATATCAATACTTAGGTTTTTTAGTTAAATCAGCTAACAAAAAAATTTTTTTGTCTTTTTGTTATTGACGTTTTGTGTGTTAGCTTTATCTATTAACTACCATGTTCTTCGTATTTAAACCACATAAAATCCAATTCAAGAGCAAAATCACGAAATATTTAAAAACAGGTACAGGTAAAAGTATGGGGGGACACTAGCAATGTACCATGGGTAAACTGGCAATGTCTTCATATACTAACTCCCCCTAAAAAAGTGTCAGCTTTATAAGAGTTTACGCAGAAAGGTTAAGGAGATGAGCAACTGAAGCTTTCCAAAGGATTCCAAAGGTACTAATGTGCAGTGTGCTGTACTAGTAGTTTACCTAATACAGTACACCACACAATAGTACCGTACACCCCGTCTCCAGTATTTATTAAGGACATGAAGAGATTACAATATAATTTGAAATTCAAAAATTAAACAAATTAAACTGAGAACATTTGTTTTGGTAGTACAAAAGTAACAGATAACTATGATAAGTAACAGATAAACATAAGAGATAATTATAATTAGTACTGGGAACACTGCTATAATGAACTGTACTAATAATACTAAAGAGGTGTCCACTGGATCAAAACGTTTGAAAATAACCCCAAAATACACTGTGAGTAAGAATCTGAGAGCTTAGGGATATGAGAATGCAAAAACTGGAAATACAGAAAATAATTTTAAAAGCGTTACGCTGTTTACAGTGGATCAACGCAAAATTTCATTTCGAGACTAATAGCCCTTTTTTGGGCTAACGGTTTTGAAATGTTATAATTCTAAAATAAAGTAGGAAAATTTGTGATAATTCCCATACAGAAAATTAGTGCATATTCAAATTTTGGAATCATGAATCATGCACGACAAGAGTTAGAAGTTCAAGACTTCTTCCGTTCCAGTTTTCTAACCGATGAAGATAACTTTTGCAGATACTCAGTAAGTTTTCTTGCGCACTGAAAATATAAAAGTAGTCACCAGAAAGTAATCACATGAAGCAAAATAATACGAAGCTAGTCGAATGGCATAGTGCCCACTTGCGGCCGAGGGATAAAAGTCGCTGTATACTGGTAGTCAGTCCAGGGTTTGAATCCCGACCAACGGGCATTTTCGTGGATTTCATCATGTATAACGTGTGTACGAACCAGTTTCCCTTAGCAAATCCTCGATGACGGCATTCCTCGTAGGAAAGTAGCCCTCGAGTTCTTTGTCGTAATCAAAATAAACTTAAAAAAAAAAAAAAAAAAAAAAAAAAAAAAAAAAAAAAGGATAGCATGATTTGAATAGAGTGGAAAATGAGTTCGATATCGCCTCTAGTATCTCAACATGGGCGTGGATGACTTTCAAAATAATAGTTAGAGCTATTTAGAGAACTTTTGGTAACACCAAGCAATGATTCTATTGTTTGTTGAGATTATAAGCGACAACTGTACCCGTAGCTTAGAGTCTTCACGCATGATAACAACCAATCATGATTGCTTCATAATTTTACAAAGCAAGACAATTTGGCAACAAATCATTGCAAACAACTGCATATAGGCAGTGGTCGCTAGATAGCTCGATTAACTATGGGGTTTAGACGGTACGCGGTGTTAAGCTGTGTTCGACGCTATTGTACATTTGCAAAAATTAAAAAGATTCGACAAGCGTGTATTGAGGAAAGTAAAATCAGTTTCCTGTTTTTTTTTTTTTTTTTTTTTTTTTTCGAGATTCAAGGTTGGGCTCACGAATTTGGCGGCTAAGATCGTGTGAGAACACAGAAATCTCACAGTGTACATTGTGGCTGCATCGATTCTTGTATCGTTATCACGCGCGAGCACGTGCGTCGAAAGGTATAAAAACTGGAAGGACTGGTTTGTCTCTCTCTTTTCTTTTTCCCCTCTTGCTGCCTGACGTCGTGTTAACGAGTGTGTGGGCCTTAGGGCCACACACACTCAGCAGTCGCCATCGTTCCTGCCTAGTTTTGCACGTGGAATGTCGTCGTATTTTTGCATAGAAAGAAGCAGAATGAAGAGATCCAATATCTAAAGTAAAATGTTTGGTTTGAGATTCACTAAGTCCTGCTGCCGTGAATAACATAAAATAAACGCTCGAGCAGAATATCAATAGATGTTCGACTTCAAGATATGCTTGACCAGCGATGTGTGACCACGTGATGATAAGTGTGTAAACAAAAACGTGAATGTAAAAAAAAGAAGAGCTTACAAGTGTGTAACCAGACCGCGCGATAATACGAAAATGAATATGACAAAATTTTCAACCGCAAAATTATTCGATGGGACAGGATTGCGCATGTAGTCACGCTTCGGCACTCCACGAACATTCCATTTGAGTTATCGCATTGTGTGTATCTAAGTTATGATATTTAGTATTTTATATGTGTGTGATAAATGTGCCTTATTTAATCCAGAAAATATGTTCGATAAAATAAATATGAGATTGAAAAAAGAAAATATTCGGCTCATGCATGCATCATTGGGTAAGTCTTGTTAATCTATTGAGTAATGATTATGCAATGTACTAAACACTAAATTTTAGTTTAAGCATTTACGCAAAATTAATTTGTATTTGATATTCTTAGTATCGTCATTTTTGGCGATCACGCCAGTAACACCACAGATCGCTAATCACCAACCTATTTAATTATTAAAGAAAACATAAACAATTTTATTACCTTAATACAAGAAAAAAAGCACTCCAATAAAACTGAACGCTGAAAGTATTTAGCATTTCCCCAAGTATGCAGTACATTTCTGTTAAACTAAAGTAAAACAGCGAAATAACTATTATTTTTAATTACATAGACAAAAACTAAGCAGGTTTTATAGACAGTTTGTAATTATTCTTCCATTAATATTTATAGAATACTTGTTCAGAAAAGTACTTACGTATTACTCTAAACAAATTTAATAACATCCTAAAATTACATGATGTGCTGTATAACGGACATGATTACCACATAGAGAACAAAGTTTCCGAGATCTTCAATAATTCCATTTTATAATTTTGTTTGTATTGTAATTATAACAACCCAAATCTCCTATACTACTTGTAATTCTAACAGAGACGTTTTAAGCAAGTTTGATCAAGACAACCTGGTGTCTGAGTTCTTTTGTCCAACTAACATGAAAATATTTTTAGATCTTGATTTTAATACTCCAATAATCTAGGTACAATTCCCATTTTCCAGTCGTCAGTCAGGATCATTCTGAATGATCATATGTTCAGATCAATGATGTCATTAGGAATGCATTGGCTGATCGTTTCCATATCGTATGAGGAAAACAAAATTAAAAAATAAATAAATTTTTACGTGCGCTCAAAAGAACTAACTGATACTCATTTCGCACTATATCCGAATTTTATACCTTACAGAGACTGAGAACAAAAACTTTATTTAAATTTGAGTTTTGAACAGGAACGAGATTGATGTTTTAAAAATCATGCAGTTTAAAAAAATTGAGATTAAAAATTTTAAGAATATTTTCAGAACATAAACAAAGATTATCAATCAAACTGAATAATAGCCCATTTATCCCATATTCTCCTACGTTGGCTCTTAAAACTGTTTTAGAAAAGCGTTTCAAAGTTCAGTGCAAATTCATTCTAACTTTTGTAAACAAATTGGTGTTTGGAAATGGCTTCCGGATGGATAAAATTATATCTAGGGGCCGCCAACAAGCATGAGTTAACTGAGTTCTTTATCAATAAATCATACTTTTTATATAATTATCAGACACTTTTCTGTTTAGTCGCAATCAGATTCTCAGCTACGGCGGAAGAAGAGCGTTTGGCAAGCATCCAATGTAAGTTACAACAACATGGAGAGAGATGGAGATGCTGGGACGTTTTGGATAGCCTCAAAATGGCCGCAGCTTCTGCCACAAATAGGGCCAAATCTGAGCTCAGCGTTAGATCCAACGTTATTGTTATTTTGTCGGCGTTCTGGGTTAATTTTTGTCTCCTAGGTGTCCGCAGAATTCATGGCGTTATTTACCGGGCATTAATAGACACCTTCGAAGTGAGCAGAGAAGATGCTGCTTGGCCTTTTGGGATACTTGGATTCTTCATGTGCGTTACAGGTCAGTTTTCTCTGTTGGTATTTGTGGAGATTTAAACTACGGTGAACAAGCGGCCATTTGTATTTTAATTGACTATATAGAAATATTTTTCTCCTGTTTGAAAAAAGGGTTGAAATAGTTGCTTATTAAACTTTATTTATTTACAAAAAATGTTATATTTAAGAATTTTTTTTAATATTTCAATCTGGAAATTCATATTACTGCCGTAGTTCAAAGATTGAAAAATATTTAACAATTTTTAAAGTATAAAAATCATCAATTTTAAAAAATCGTATACTTGCATTTTTTCCAAAGTTTATGAATTTATATTTGTAAACTATGCATTCAGAATTTCATATGCAAATTCCATTTTAACATCTAAATTTAGCTAAACAATGACGATTGATGTTTAAAATTAGGCAAAAAAGCGACCTAATGTTTTTTACTCTTAATGAAACTCTATCAGTTTCAAAAGTGATTTAATACAGTTCCTCATCTTCAGGAGCAAAAATAATCTAATAAAAATAAAAGTTCTAAAATGTTTTAAAGCTAGAATTCCATTCACATAACTCATTGAATGATTTTTAATTAATATAGGACATGTTTCGCATTAAATTTTCAAACAATTATAAGAATCGTTCCTCAGAAACTTAAATAACTTCTAATTTAAGTGAAATGAAATTGGGAGCATTATATAAGTTTTTATCACGAAATCGATTCATCAGTTACTAATTGTAAAGTAACTACATTAAATGAACAGTTGCAGGTTCTTACAGAAAACTTCATGTAATTATGTGAGGAAGTTGTACAACTGACGTTTAATCGATTAGTTGAACATTATTTATACCTCCAAAAGGGAAAGGAAATGTTTTACTCGGAAATTATCAAAGTAACTACTGTAGTATTGATAAAAAGATATTTGGTGATAATAAGTAATAACGTATCGTATTATCATTAAAAAATTAGCTTTTCATTGATTAAATTTGTTTTATTTATTTACTTATATATGATGTTTACCTTTTATTTAGTCATGTAACTGTTTTCGTTCTCTAGCCGTGAGGGAAAAAAAAAAAAAAAAAAAAAAAAAAAAAAAAAAAAAAACCTGACATTGATGCTGGGAGGAGTTTTAGTGTCTGACTTAGGGATACGGAAACAAGTTTTGGCACTGAAGAGTTTGTGCTTCCAAGAAAGCGCCCAAATGTTTATGTAAAAGTAGTTTGTGAAGTATCTGTCTTTGTTAGTATATTTCGATATTTGATTTCCAAGAGTAATTCATGTGAAGAATTTTAAAAATTTAAGTAGAAATTTCTATATTATTGTAAGGAATTTTAAAGAAAGTGGCATCAATATTTGTTTTTAAAGTTCTTTAATTTATTTTTAAATACCTTCTATTTCGAGATTCGCGTATCCGTGTATTTTGTTTACTTTCCAAGTAGTAATATAGCTCCCTAGAGTTTTGTAACAGACATAAAGGGGAATAATTTTCCTGTCTTTGGCGATCGGTGTAGTTTGAAATAAAAACTGAAAAAAAAAATGTAGAAAGTTATCGCAGTTTTAAAAAAGCTCCTAAATTATTCATTAGATGTAACATCTAGGAAATCGAATCAAATGTATGGACACAAAGTTTCCGTTAAATTTAATTTACTTGTTTATTCAAAACAACGAAATTTTTCATCGAATTATTTTGAAAAAATTATCGTTTTATATCTTTATGCCTACTATCCCTTTTCATCAAAATTTTTATCTTCCTTTAAACGGCTACCGCTTTAATGTCATCTATGGGGCGAATGTACGTATGTACTTAATTATAATGAAGAATACGAGGCCTGTCTATCTATAAAGTAATACGCATCTATGGTCATACACAAATATGGTCTGTACAATGCTGTAAGTTGAAAGTTCCCTCAGCTCAACGCTACATGTTAGGCAATTGATTGAAGATTTTCAGATAAGGCGAAAAGACCTGAATTACATTTTCATGCATTTCGGAGACAAGAAATTAATATAAGTAACAAAAAATTAAATAAAATATACTAACTTAAAATTACCCTAAATTCAGTGACTGCCAATAAAAATAGTCGCTTTAAATCGCATATTTTTTTTCAACATTGTATAGAATTTCATGATCTAAATAGCAAGCTGGTAAAAGATGCTATGCATGTATATCTATCATTAAAAATAAACATTGGCAATGCTTACAAAAGACCTTATAAGGGAGTAAAGATATGATACATAATAATACAATCAGAATGCACTATTATGTACTATATGGAAGGCAAATGGTATATGGAAAGATTTCTTATAAATTATATATATATACATAATAGAGTTCTTTTCTGTTTTAGGTTTTTTTTATTTTAAGTTATCGTTAGAGTATTTTTCATTTTTAATTAGAAAAGCAGAATTCAGTAATGCAAACATGGCGCATTATTTTTAAATGGCCTTAGAAGGACTCTAAAATTATTAATCCTAAAAGGGTTGTTGCCAAATTCTTTTAAGTCTAAAAATTATTATCGAGATCAACTATTTTCGATATAAAGTAATTTGTTGTGTAATTTAGAAACTAAAGAATTACACATAATTGCTTATAGGAATGTTTGTGACAGGAATTTTAGGAATGTTCTTTCTGAAGATTTTAAAAATTAAAAAATATAAAAGTGATAAGATTAAAAGAAGACTGCAGTCTTAACTTGGTACGCAGATTTTATCTTGACACTTGAACTAATTTTAAACTAAGCTTGTAAAGAAGAGACCTAATAGGTATAGAAGGTTTAAGAAATAAGTAATGGACTTTACTTGAATGTTTAGAGACTCATATAAAGTTTTACGGTAAATTTGCTTGTTCGAAAAACAATTACTGATTCTGATACTCTTTACCATTGCTACTTGGGCAACTCCATAGATTTGCCTCCACATAATGACTCAACATTTAATCAACCAGAAATTAATGTTATAGAATATAAAACAGCATATTTAAAATGAGATATTCAAAATGGCAAATTCAAACAGACTCCCGATTAATCGTAATAACGCCGGAGATGACGATTTATGCAAAATCATGGTTAATTCGAAGGTAGTTGAAAGAGAAGTAACAATTAATATAACTGATAAGAAAATATTATTAAGAATTCACTTGTGTTTTTAAGCTGTTTAATTTGGAAAATAAGTTCTTGATTACATAAATTAAGTCAGGATTCAATGCAAAAATAGCGCATTATAAATAACTAATAGTCATTATTAATAGAGAACAAACATGATTGTACTGTAGTGTGTAAATTAATTGGGACAAAACAATTTGTTCCCAAAATTTTAAGTTGATGTTTATCGGATCCCATTAGGTCCCTCAAAGCAATTTTATCTGCCTTAATGTCATCTGAATGTTTGCTGTCGACCACTTAGAACTGGTTTATACAATGAATTAAGATATTACATCCATTTTTAGCTTGTTTCTGTGAGAAAAGGAGGATAATTTTGCAAATTTTTTAATTACGTTCTGCATTTATTCATTTTAGTGTATTAAAAACAGATATATGCTTAGAAAGAGCACTTAATAGTCATATAGACACACATGGCCTATGTGACTGTAAAAATTATCACTTTCGCCGTTGGAGTTGAAATATCAAGCATTTCTTTAATTTCGAGGAGACACAGTGAAATTGGATCATTTTCTCCTCAGAGGAAGGATAAATAGGAAAGAAAAAGAAAAACAGCTGCAAAATCTGATCAATTTTTTTCTCAGAAATAACATTATTAATCCAACAAAAGCTAGCAAAGACCTTGAAAAAAAAGATCTATTATCTGTTGGTACTGATATTCATCCTTCAAATATGCAGCGTAGATTTTTCACTGCTGCTCAGATGGCGAGAGAGCCACACACGTCAGATACAGCAGGAACGATTATTGTGGATCAAAGAGTACAAATCTTGGATCATAAATGACTGAAAAAAGGCATTTTCACCGATAATACTCATTTATTTGTCCATGTTTTCACATCTAACGTTGTTAGACGAAGCAAAATTTAATCAACATATCCAATAAACCGTGCAAATCCCTCAAAAACAAAAGTTTTAGGGTTATCTCATTGCAGATGGCACTGGAATTATAGTCCCTATTGACGAAATGATAAATTCGTCGAAGTAACAGAAGTTTTAAACTTAGGCTTGTGCCATTTTTTGAAAATATTTCCAGGGGCATTTCAACCTGACTTGGCTCCATAGCATAATTCGAAATTTGTCAAAAGGTTGATGTTGGAAAATAAAATTATTATGCTAGACTGGTCTGAAAATCCATCAGACTTAAATGAGATCAAACGTAGGATTATGGCACATTCTCAAGAAACATGTTAGCGAAATGACTGGCCATAAAACATAATCATAAAATAACTGGTTATACAAAATAACAAAAACCTTACAAACCTGATTCAATATCAAAGTTTAATATATCAGATTCAAACGATTTCTGTAAATTCTAATAAATTCTAAAACTTGTTCAGCAGTTCTAAATAGTTATTACCTTCGAACTCGAGAATCATCGTACATTATAAAAAAAACTTTAAGCAATTATTACCTCCAGAATTTGAGAATCACCTATGAATATGAAAAATTAAAACCGTCATTTAGTAAATTAATAGTGTGATCCTTTGTAGTGAAAACATTCACCACTTTTTTCTTTAAGGCGACATAAATCGTATGCTTATCTAGTAACTTAAGCCGTTAGTTGTTTTCGCAAGTGGCTGTTAAGATCTCTGTCATAACTTACAGCCTTTGGTTTTTCCATGACAAGGTCGTGCAAGATGTAGTGAAAGTTCGAATTTCGTTCTAATAGTAGCAAACTTAAGGGTACTATTATTATATGTGTATTCTTCATTACGGTTGACGAGAAAAAAGGTTCTGTTGCTAGGAGTTATACGTTTAATTGCCCTTTTCATGCTCCTGCTAAACGAATTTTAAACTTTAATTGAAAATCTTTGAGAGTAAATGCTATTTGATAACCAAGAGTAGTACTATATATTGGCGATCGAA